GTTACTCTCTGTGAGCAGTCGTCACTTTTCTACTGTCTTATTTGTGGTGTATGGTAACAGCACTGTCTTGCGCTCCTTTTTTTGGCAGCTGTCTGGTATGGGGATCCGATCCCATGACCTTGGCACTCTAAGCAGCTGAGCTAACCGGCCAGTCCCCAAAATCTTGCGCTCTTGATTAAAGTTAAAAACAATAAGACAGTTCTTTGGCAGTCGCAGATATTATGATTTTCTTTATGAACTGGACCACATTGATGTTTTAGAAAATACCAAATCATGGAGCAAATCCCCAAAATTTAACCAAAGTTCTATAGGGAATTTTTTAAAAAGAGAAAGAGCTCTGAAATACATGAATTTTGCAGAAGTGAAAGAAGAGGTTTCCTGTCCTTCGAAGTTTTTGTTAGATGGAAATTGATCACAATTGGGAATGGAGGTGCTTTGAGTTCTCTGAAATACAGCTTGACCTTATAAAAAACATTTGGACCCACCTTGGCCACTCCAAGGTGGGCAATGGATGTCGTGCCTAGCAGGAAGGGGCATTGCCACACCCCGACATACTGTGTGGGCTTTAGAGTCAGAGCATGTGGGTTCGAATCCCGGCTCTGCAAGATATTCACTGGTCATTTGGGCCATTTAGTTAATCTCTCTGAGCCTCAACTTCTTCATTTTAAAATCCGAGTATGCTTATCTCATAAGGCTGTTGAGGGGGTTAAATGAAGTGACAAATGTAAAGCCTGCAGCAAGACCCTGTCACCTAATAGCTGCTTGATACATTGGACTATTTTTAGGTAATATTTATATAATATACTAATTACATAATGTAATCAAATATACTATATGAAATATATTTACATAATATATTATATAATATTTTTATATAATATTTTCTATAATAATGTATAATTATTTAAAAATAACAGTGTTTCAGAGATTCCTAGCTTTGAGATCATGTTATCTAATGGCTTTCCCACTTTTTATTTTATTTATTATTTATCATTTATTACTTATCTGTTCATTACTTGTTCATTCATTTATTTATTTTGGTGGCTGGCTGGTACAGGGATCTGAACCCATGGCCTTCCCACTTTTTAGCAGTAGAACCTTTTCCCTTTCCTTCCCAGCACATGACACCTTATAAGGAACCAGAATGTCTAAAGCAGAGCAAAGGGGAGCTGCCATTGAGGCAGGGCTGAGGGGCCCCGAGCCCTCCCCGGGCTCCCCCCTTAGCTACTTGGGCTTGCCACCGTGGGGCACCCTCGGGGCTGGGTCAGAACAGCTGCTCTAGTCCAGTCTTCTTCAAATCCTCATAGCCACTTTGGTAGACCTAAGGCCAAAACCTAGGTTCCTGGCCTCCAGGTCATGCTTTTGTTGTGTGATGTGCTCTGCCGTGTCACCGACAGAATGAAGTCCTCTCCCTATGGGAACTGGGCCTGCTTGCTTTGTTGTGGCAGCCCTTCCCATCCTAGCACCTGGTGCCCCGAGAGGCTGCTGCCTCAATTCCTGCGTTTACTGTGGCCCCACGTAGGCTTCGTAGCTGCTGACAGCTGTAAGGATGTCACCACGTTTCAGTGTAAGAGGAAATGGACATGGTTAGCCTCTCACACTGCAGCCTTCACAGTGGGTGTGTGTCTGTACTTCTATGGGTATTGGATGAGCACTGGTTTCCAGGCACTTGAAAAACTGTGTTCCATGCGGGAGAATTTCATTTCTCTGTGTGGGGGTCCATGTCAGGGGATGATCCGTTTGCTGCGGTGTTCATTCTGGAGGAGCTGCTGGACCCGGGGAGCAGGGGCGCTCGCTGCTTACTGACTAGAGAGAGCGACCAGACTTTTCTGGCTTCAGGGTTTTTGCCTGAAATTGATGTAACCCTTTTCTACAGACTTCGTCAGCTTGGTGGGCTGTGGCTTATGACATTATAAGAGATGTATCGGAAAGCTTTTTATCCAAAGAGGAATACAAAGAGACAATTGCATAAGTGCATCTAGCTTTCTCTGCAAGACAAGTTTGGCGGCCTCTCTGGCATAGTTAGCACTTTGAGATGTATGGCTTTGTATTCTGCCTTGCATCAGTGACGCTTGATTCTCCATAGAGCGTCTATGGTAGAAAAACACAGGGCTTGCCTTCTGTTTTATGTTTTCCTGCATCGTGTGTCCTGGTGTTGCTGGGATCCCTGCAAGATTAACGGCTCTCTACAGGGGACCTCACCCCCAGCCTGAGCTCTTAAATTGGAGACAGAGAGGAAGATTTCCACCTGTTTCCTGTGTTGCTTTGTCCTTGAATAATTTCATGCCGAAACGGTTCTGTATTAAAGAATTCTTTCTACTGTCAGTTCACTGGGTATTCACAGTGTGTTGAGACCATGGAGCTCATGTTAGTTGTAACTATTATGTAAGGTCCACCAATGAGTCATAATCAGTCTAAGAAGAGGCTCCTCCAGCCTGGTGTTTCTGGGAACTGGTTGACAGATCCACAAATCTCAGCTCCACCTGTCGAGCTTCACCTTCGCAGGGGCCCCAGAGGCTGTTGTTCTGGTGAGCGGCTGGATTCAGAAGCCCCGTTCGTCCCCACGCTTCTGGTTGCTTTCCTTTTCCATCACACCGTTCAGCCATACAGTGCCCCCTGTGCACAATTTCAGTGAATGACATTGATGTTTCTTGGGAAGTTGTGACAGGTAAGAAAGCACAAGGTGGACCTTCCACGAACAGCACAGTCGACTTGTGTAGGGCCGGGTGAGGCACCAGCAGTGAGGGAGAAAGCCAGCCATTTGGGGAAAGTGGTTTTTCTTTTTTAAAGATGACCAGTAAAGGGATCTTAACCCTTGACTTGGTGTTGTCAGCACCGCGCCCTCCCAAGTGAGCTAACCGGCCATCCCTATATAGGGATCCAAACCTATGGCCTTGGTGTTATCAGCACCACACTCTCCCAAGTGAGCCACGGGCCAGCCCCTGGGAAGGTGGTTTTGAGGGACCAAAAAAGAGTTTTGAAAACTTACAAGGGGCTTATATATGCCTACTGCTGCTGTCCTTGCTGCTGGTTCCCACTTCTCAGGAGCCACCAAGTGGCTAGCTGGTACTGTGCTAGCAGCTTGTTACATTTTATTGCTGAATTGCACAGTGCCCCTCAAGGTGACACAGAGTGTTAAAGCTTACCACTTCGTTCACTGGATGAACTGTTCTGCGAAGGGGCCAAAGTGGGGATTTAATGAGAGCAGAGAAAAAAGAGAAAATGTGCCCACAGCCCAAACTTTAGTTCACGCTCACTTATTTTACCATCCTGCATAGAACACTCTATAGGGAAAAATACTTTTACCTTTTTATAAAAATATATAAATAAAGAATTCTGCTTTGTAGGAGCATACAAAGCAGTGTGTGTTTGAGAAACCTACAGTTCTGTAACTGGGCCTTTATGGAAGTGGCTGCAGAGTCAGGCCATGTTGGGATTTAGGGGTGTCCCCATTCAACTTGCAGGGTCCCATCGTGGGCTTGCATGTGCTCTCCATGGGGCAGGACTCAGGACCAGTTTTGTACATGTTTTATTTGCAGCTGATGGCAGTCACAGCAGTGCTGTCATGCCTTGTTCCCAAGGGAAGACAGATTCCTGCCTTTTTCATCTGCCTTGCTCCTATTCCAAGGGTACTCGTAGCTCAGAACAGCCCTGGTGCTGAGTTTGCCTGTGAGTTGTGACATGTGCAGCGAGGAATTTATTAATGATAATAAAGTACCAGATTGATGAATTATTTGCTTTTTCTCCCATGAGTAGATAGATTTCACATTATCCTGATAATAACAATAATCACTGCAAACATGACGCTCCAGACCCTCTGCCCAGTGAGCCCTTTCCTTGCATGTTCTCATCAAATCTCACGCCCATCCAAAAGGGGAGGTATTTTGAGTGTCCCTGCTTGAGACTCAAGGAAATGTGTTGAAAGAGGTGACGTGGCTTGGTTAGGGTCCCCCAGCCTGTGAACAGCAGAGCTGGGATTCCCCTCGTACCCACCAGCATGCCAGGAGGGTTTTGTGAGTGGAAAACAAGGGAGTTGGGGCTGGCAGCTAATGATCCCGGGTTTCAGGATAATGGAGAAAAGCATGAGCACCACAGCTGGTGTAATGGTGGGCCCGGAGCCTGAAAAGCTCGCTAGTTGCTTTCCAGAGAGGGAATTCTCTCCATTTCTGGACTGAAGTTTCCCAAGTTCCTTAGCCACAAGGGCTTCCAAGGCTTGAGGCTTGAGACTTAGGGATGGAAGACATGACAGTGGTCGTGCTCCAGACACTGTCTGCTCTGGGAAGGTGCTTGCAGGCCTCGTCTTGTCCTGTGCTCTGTCCTGGTGTGCACAGGGGTTGGTGGAAGAATGGAAGGGTGGAAGAAGGAAAGGGAGGAGAGGGAAGGACAAAAGGATGTTTGGATGGATGCGTGTTGGGATTGAAGGAAAGAACTGAGGAGAGGTGGGAGGAGAGAGAGGGTGAAAGCGATAAATTAGGACCCAAATGAAATGAAAGAGATAGAGGAGACAGGAGAGTTGCCAACTTTTGCACAAGGCACCATTATGGAAAGCTCAGTACTTTTTGCTGTTTCCCTTATATTCTCTTTGCATGCAGATCTCATTCATATGTTTACTTAGTAAACATTTTTGACCACCAACCTAGATGCTTGGGGTAAACAAATAAGACGTGGTCCTTTTCTTAGAGACGGGAGTTTACAGTCTCAGGGCCTCCCTCACACCAGTGATGTCGTTGCCTGATCATTAGCAGAGGACATGGCCATCCTGATGGGACATCCTCACCTGCAGAGGAGGCTCCCCAAATAAAGGCCGTCATCCACCAGCCAAGGCTGCGGTCTTTGTATTTACCACAAGGAAGGAAGGTTTCATGGAGTCTGTCTTTGCCAAAACATTGCTTTTCACTGTTTCCTACCTTCGTGTGAGGCTTTTGGGTTCTTGTTGTTGTTGTTTAATGGAACGTTAAGATCTCATGAGGAATGACTCTTCTTTTTCATTTTTTACCCAGGATTGATCGTAAGATGTCAAGTGCTCACACCAACTACAAACTGGATGAGGCCCAGGCTATCATGAGTGAGCTCCGGACCATCAAGAAAGCCATTAGTACCGGCGAGAAGGAGAGGCGGGACCTGGTGCAGGTAAAGCCTGGGCCTGCCCCCTTCACACCCCTGCCACTCACCTGCCTGCCTGCTCGTCTGGTTTTTGTTTGTTTGTTTGTTTTTTAGTTTTTTTAAAAAATATATTTATCACATATGTTATATATTTATTGTCTATACAATCCATATATAACATAATGTGTGTATATTATATTTGAATGAGTGTATGATTTTCCTGGGGCTGCTGTAACAAAGTATCACAGACTGAGTGGCTTAGGACGATAGAATTTAGTCTCTCAGTTTTGGAGGCCAGAAGTCCGAAATCAAGGTGGTGGCAGGATGGCGCTCCCTCTGAAGGCGCTAGGGGAGGAGCCTTCTGGGACTCTTCTAGCTTCTGGTCGCTCCAGGCATTCCTTGGCTCATAGATACATGACTCCAACCTCTGCCTCCATAGTCACATGGCCTTCTCCCTGTGTCTCTGTGTCTAAATTTCTTCTTCCTATAAGGACACTAGTCATTGGGTAAGGGCCCACTCTAATCCTCTGTGACCTTATCTTAACCAGATTACATCTGTAAAGACCCTATTTCCAAATAAGGTCACATTCACAGGTTTTGGGGGTTAGAACTTCAACATAGGGGGGACACAAACCCACAACAATGGGTGATATGTTCATATTGTTCCGTAATCAAAATAATTGTAAAGACTGATGATGAGAAATCTTGCTGTCACCCCCTCCTGCCACCTCCCATAAGTACTCTTATTAGTGTTGTGTGTGCCCTTCCTGTGTTCATGCAGACACAGAAAAATACGAATACGTGTTCAGCTGCCCTCACACAAAGCTAGGACTGTGCCGCTGTTCTGCACCAGCTTCCTCACGTGACGATAATATCCTGTGCCTTTTCCCATTATATGTGCTCAGAGAGCTTATTCGTTCCTCGATAGGGTTGTGTAGTGTTCTACCACATGGATATGTCTGCATTACATAGCTGGGATCATTGTAGCTTCGTATCGTTTTATGCTTTTTGCCTCTTGAACTCCTGGAGTTACTGTTATTATTTTTGGAAAATGTTGAACTTGTACAAGTGGATGCACACTGGTCTTTTTACTTGATTCTGGCATACATTCAGTGATTTCTGTTGTAGCTTTTAGTGTTTGCTCAACACCCTAAGCGAGCACCTAGTGCCTGGTAGGCATTTGTTTAGATTCTGCTGAACATGAGACACAGAGGACATATGAAAGAAAGCTTAGACTCATAGCCAAAATGAGACAGATGCACAAATGACTACCTTGCTCAGCAGTGCTTGCTAAGGTCAAAGCCATGAGCGACCTATGGAGAGTCTGTGTGGTGCTCGTTAAAATGCAGATGACTGGGCCCCACCCCAGACCTACTGAATTAGAATCTCTGGAGGTGAGGCCCAGAAATCTGTATTTTCAGATGATCTCTCCAGGCCACGATAGGTAAAGGGTCAATTGTTAGATTTTTTTGGTGCACTGGTAGCACTGAAAACAACTATTATTTACTGAGATCTCTGGGCATATGGTGTTGGACAGGGTGCCCTATATTCATTACCCATATGATCCTAGCCAACTCCCCAGGGTCAACCAACTGGAGCTTCTTGGCAGGGACACGGAGGCTTTGCCCCACAAGGTCAAATAGGTCTCCCTGGCCTGGCTTCTCTGAGGCCACAGTGGGCAACAGTGGGGTGAGCCAGCCAGTTGCCTCATTTGGGTTCCCTACCATGGAGGCAGGAGGTAGAATTTCTGGAAGAAGCTTCGGGCCCCAGCATCTCCTTGGAGGTCTCATACTCTGAGGCGCACCCGCGATAGGCATGGGCAAAGTCCTCAAAATCAAATACGTTGTTTTGTCTTTCTAATGTGAACTTGACAATACTGGCTGCTTCCCAGAAGCCTCTGTGTTGATCGCGAGCCAGTTCCATGAGTACTCCTGCACTGGGGCGTTCTGGATCAGGTGTCTGCGGTCCTATCTGCTGAAGGTGAATGTATTCAAAAGTCTAAAAGAAATGGCCCCAAATCTGATTTCTCTTTAACTTTCACACGAAGGGGTTCCATATACCAGAACACAGACTTACTCTACGTTTTGACAAACATCCATACGCGATGACTTTTGACCATGTAGAATTATGTTGGAGAAACCAGATTTTAAAAATACGTAAGCAACACCTGGCAGCTGTTTTCACCTTCAGTGTGGTTTATCTATGAAAATCTCACAGTGGCGTTCATCTCTGTCACATACTGATTGGACGTTTTGGGAGGAATGCTTATTTTTTTCTTTAGGAAGTGTGAAGGTTTAAAAAACAGTACGGATGGTCCCAATAATTGTTCTTTGCCTTATTCGCGTGCTGCCAGGAGCGCTCAGTCACTATCTGATTTAAATGGGTAGGAATTGTATTAAAGGTGCGTGTGGTGAAAAACAGGTATTTTAAGTCTACTGAGAATAGGGTGCGGATGGGGACACTGCAGTAACAGAGCTGCAGGCCTGAACTGGGCTGGACGACCGCTGGTAGAGGGAGGGGGAGCGGTGCCATCTCTGTTCATTGAGCTTGCCTCCTTCCGTTGCAGAGCCTGGCCAAGCTCACCAGCGGCTTCAAGAACAGCTGCTCTGTCACCGACGCCCTGCAGGATTTCCCTCGCGACCCCGGCTTACCTCCACAGTTCTGCGACGCCGGCTCCCAGACCGATGTCATCGGGGAGGTATGCTGGCCTGGGGAGAAGGGACGAGTGTGCCTTGCGTCACCATTGCTCATTTGGTTTGATTTTCCACTTTCACTTCAGAAATATTTTGGCTTTGCTGCTGTTAAGTTTGAAGGAAAAATATTGTGTCTCACATCCAGCTGTGAAGGTTCGGTGGTGTAGGGTGCGGCTGGATTGCTTGTCAGCTCCATCCTTGTGATTTCCATTCTCAAATATGGCAGACTCCTTGTGAGAGTTGTTTAAATGTCTTCTTGACAGACACATTGCTTTTTAGAGCACAGATCAGCAAACTTTTTCTGTAAAGGATCAGATAATAAATATTTCAGGCTTTGCCGAACATATGGTCTCTGTCATTGTGGCACAAAAGTAGCTGTAAGTGATGTGTGAGTGAATGAGTGTGGCTGTGCTCCAATAAAACTTTATTTACAAAAACAGGCAGCGGGCAGGATTTGGCCCGAGGGCCGTAGTCTGCTGATCTCTGGCTGAGACCGGTGATTTCCAAAGGCTTGTAGCTGTGCCACCTTGGGTTATACTTCGTTGCTGTTTCTTACTCTTCTAAAAGAATGTCAGGAAATTGAATTGAATTAAGAGTAATTTTGTTTGAGACTTGGAAGAATTTCATAACGCCCCTTTTGATAATTAGGGAAGCCTTGAGTCAGCCACAAAAACAAAGCTGGGAAAATCACCATTGGAAGCAGGGTTGTGAGTATTCAAACACATTACTACTGTAATGTCACTCAGTGAAGTTTGACATTAATTTGTTGCCAAAGGGAAAAGCAGTTTACTTAATAAGCCTAAGAAAAAGAAGAGGTAAAGATGAGGTATCAATGGAATGCTCAGTGTCCCTCCCACCTCACTAAATTAAATAAATAAAAAGGAAGTTAAAAAGGGAACAAAAACAATTGACAGAAAACTCTGGGTTTTAAATAATTAGCTAATATTTTGAAATTTTGGCAAATAGTGCCTCTTTGAGGGGAGTATAATGTAGTAAATAAATGAGTCTTTATGTCTTAGATGTCCTGGAACAGGCCTATCTTTGATTTTACCCTCATTGGTCTCGAAAGTACACTTGGCCATTTTCGATCAGGCATCTTCTTTGGTTTAAATAATATGGTTACCACCCATAATACACAGAGAAGAATCTGTGAGCCCAATATGTTTGGCATTTTTGCATAAAGATTTTGGAGTGAAGGAGGGAAAGAAGTACGAGACTCATTGAATTCTGTGACTAATTCATTGCTGCTTAGAATTGAGAGACTCTTAACCAGTTTGAGAGAAGCAGGTAAGATCAAAGGTTCTCTAATGATTGAAATAAGCCATTCTAAAAATGTCAGGTGGGGAGTGGTGGCTGGTTATGCTACTGTAGCAGTAAATTATCATCGTTTATGAGCCCCTGTGTTCACTGGGGCTGGCTCTGGGTTGGCAGCTTCCCAGCTGTTATCTCGGTTTAAGTAGTTGTTCCCATCCCTCTTTGACAGGCGGGGAGACAGAGGTGCCAGGTTACCTGAGGTCATGTAGCTAGGGAGAGGCAGGTCTGGGTTTGAATCAACAACTCTGATCCCTAAGCCCCTGTACTTTCTACTATATCATGTTATTATAGAAAAATATGTCAAAAGGCTATGATGTATTAGTTAGTCATTGTGACATAATGAATTAACCCCAAACGTATTATCTTAAAACAAGACTCCTTTATTATCTCACTATTTCTGTAGCTCAGGAGTCTGGGCTGGGTGCTCTGCTTCAGGGTCTTTCAGGAAATTGCAGTCAGGGTGTCAGCAGGGCTACAGTCTCATCTGAAGGCTCGCCTGGGGAAGGATCCATCCCAAGCTTACATGATTGGTGGCAGGATTCAGTTCCCTGAAGGTTGTTGGACTGAGGGCTTTGGTTCCCTGCATGTGGGCCTCTCCAGCACAGGAGCTTGCTTTGGCAAAGTGGGCTGAGAAAAAAAAAAGCTGAGAAAAAAACTGAGAAAAGCTGAGAGAGTCTGCTAGCAAGATGGAAGTCATAGTCTTTTGTAACCAAGTCACAGAAATGACTTCCCATCACCGTTGCTGTGTTCTGTTGTTTAGAACCAAGTCATAGGCCCAGCCCTCTCTCAGGTGGAGGGAATTTCACATGGGGTAAATCCCAGGAGGTGGAGATCATTGGGGGCCATCTTAGAAGTCTGCCTGCCTCACTTAGTTCTTGCTTTGAGTCCATTTTATGGGGTGGATGTTGATGTATATCAGACATGCTTTTCGAGACCAGGGATTCTGAGCCACAGGTTTTTAGCTGCTGTAGGGTTGCACAGGAACTGTGAAGCAGGAACCTGTCAGATCGTTTGGCTGTCTTTTCTTTTGACTAAAATGCCCATTTAATTCCTGAAGAAGAGTGTAAAAACAAAGCTTAGAGGTGCATAAACAGCTAAGAAAATAGGTTTAAGAAGTGACTTCTATTGATCTTCATGGAGAGTTGGCTGCAAGGTCTCTAATAAAGAGTCCCAAGGAGCAGCTCAGCTCACCTCCACTGCAGACAGGCTTTGGAGCTGTGACACGGCAGCCTAAATATATTTATATTTAGGAAACCATGGAGAGGGGCATTGGATGCGGTCGTTTAAACATGTAAAACTGTGACACTCTTGTTGGAGAATGCTTGGTCCCTAGTAAGCCACTTCCTCATCTTGCCACTCAGCAATAAAGTTGTAAGGAAATTCCCCATCGACATGGATCAAAACTTGTATTGATAAATTCATCACTAATCATTCAAGTAGAATATGAATATTTGTTGACATGAGGTCATTTCTAAAACATGAGGCTTGGTGGTCATAATATATGGTCTAGTAAGGTCATATCTACAGATGGACCTGACTTAATGAAACTAGAGTTGTATGACATTTCCAGGAACAAGAAGAGGTAACCAAGGTGAGCTACAGTTAGCTCTTGTACATGTCTTTTTTTGTTTTATGTAGGATTTTGTTGCCTTTAATGTAACAGGTACGAAATCATTTCAGTCCAGCTACCAATCACGTTCAGAGTGCTGTCTTTAAAGTCTGGCTCTCGGATTCTCCGCAGCCCAGGCTTTCTAGAGCTTGCTTCCCTTCCTTGCACCTGTGGCTCCTTCACATGCCTGTGACATTGGGAGGCGTCCAGTCCACACCTCACACAGCTGGTCCGTCTTCTTCAGACCTTGGGATTTCTTAGTAGAATGTCATTATTTTACATTTGCTGAGGAATTAGAGAATATACTACACAAAATGGGATGACTTTTTGCCTTTATATCAACTTATTTGTTGTTGCTTGGAATTACACAGTAGATGAGTATACTTCCACTGTAAAACAACAACAAGAAGAAATCACCAGTTTCAGAAGACAAAAGGCTTCCCAGCCCCAAGGCCAGAGGTGGCAGAGGGTAGTGTTTGGTGTGTTTCCTTCCAGACCTTTGAAAAATTGAAATTGAAAGACAAATTAAAAGAGTATTCTTCATCGTTGCCAAAAGTCTAAATGAATTTTCTGTTTTGAAATGTGTTTTTAATATGTGTTTCCTTTCTTTTTTTTTTCTCTTCTGTTCCGGAAAGTTTGTCTTTGATGATAAAACAAGACTCGTAGACCGAGTCAGACTTAACTGGCAGTATGAAGAAGCCAGAAAGAGGTAAGAAGCACATTTTTCCAAGGTCACCATCTGCTTGCTTCCTTTCTCCTGTGGAAGGCACATGGCAGAGTTCCAGTACGTGACTGTCCACAAAGGATCTTCATTTACACGTAGCTGCTTAATACATATGACAAACTTTCAAGTGCATTTAAAATGTGACATTCTCAATATTGCAAACAGTCGTAAAGATGTGATTCAATAAGAATAGAGACGCATTCGGTTTTCTTTGCCATACCGAGTAGTTCGGAACTCCCACCCCTCCTTCCAGTAGACTGAACATCAGTCCCTCAGACCAGCTGCAGTGAAACCATTCTGCTATATATGTGACTACTAACTAGGTTAATGCGAAAAGCCGCGTATCTTGGTTTAAAAGACATTCTAATAAGTATTAGGCCAACAAATGGTAGCAGTACCTAATCAATTTTATTTCATTGGAGAGAATCCACATGCTGTCATTTTTATGTTGACCTGTATTGTAAATCATCTGCCTTCTGCCAGTTGTGACTTCACTGGGTTTGTGCATTTGCGTGGCTCTGCTCGTGTCCCACACAGTCTTTCCCTAGGACCTGGGCAAAGCTGAGTGGCCTCCGGCTCCTCTGCAGTGCATCATGTTTCTGCTGTCATGCCTAGTGGCCTGTTCTCACAATTCTTTCCCTGCCCTGGCTCTTGTGTCCTCTTTTTAGAGACTCCTCTCCTTGGTGTCTTCTGGAAAGAGTCTTAAAACCAAATCATTTCAAAACATGTGCTTTGGAAAAGTATGAAACATATCTTTTTAAAAAAGTTTCTTTAGTTGCAAATGAAATATGATCTTGGCGGGGGGGGCGAGGAGCAGGGGAGGGGGTCCTTTCTGGAAGCTGAACAGTTGGGCATGTTCAGAGTACTGTATGTCTCACGGATGTCTGGATGTCTGGAAATCCACTTTGTTGGCTTTTTAGAAAATGTAAAAATAGCAACAAAAGCAGATCATATGACTCCCTGCCACAGGGCCAACTTAAACTGACATGGTCCTTCTGTTCACTGGGAGGGTTTTTTTTTTTTTTTTTTTGGCAGCTGACTGGTACGGAAATCCGAACCCTTGACCTTGGTGTTACAAGGCTGCACTCCAACCAACTGACCCAACCAGCCAGCCCACACTGGGAGGTTTTATACCCAAGTCCTCCAGGCATTTTAGGATGTACTCATGGTGGGCTTTCAATTTCTCCAAGGAACGCTGCCGAGTTCATTTAGCAGTACTGGTTATCTCCGTGGTCACATTCTTCATTTATCATGCATTCCTTCTCTTCAGCTTGCTGGAGTTTATGAGGGGTGGTTGTCTCTTCTGAATGATGAAGCTGCTCGTTCTGCTCTTTCTTGCATATTTCTGGTGGAACTGCAAAGTGTGGGTGCTGGAATTTGCTGTGCTGTATTAAACATGGAAAATACATCATTGCTACACTTAGGAACATAATCGTTATGTGTTTTGCTGTGACATTTACCAAACATAGCAAGTGATTTCTTTGTCTTCAAGAGAGATGGTATCAGTACACAGTGAGTAACCTTTTTAATGTCACGATAATACATTTGGGCAAATAGTCAAGAAAATTATTTGGGAGCAGACACTGCGCTTCATCAGTACTGTTGGGTAAAAGTATTACTTCAAGATCATAGACTCTTGCTAGAAATGCACTGCAGCTACAGAGGAGGGTCCTGTTGCCAGCATTTCAACCTTTGCACAGTGGGGGCTTCTCAGAAATGCCTTTCTGGGCTACGCTGAGACATTTAAAACATCAGAGATGCATCTTAGAGTTGTCTTGAGCTGGCTTGCCTGTCCTTTTGTCACTAGCACAGTGGTTTTTGACCTGCGGAGTGGGCTACCAGGAGATTTACTCCTTTACCCCCCAGGAGATTTCTGGCAATGTTTGGAGGCATGTTTTATTGTGACAACCCTGAGGCAGGTGCTGCTGGCATCAAGTGGGCAGAGGCCAGGGATGCTGCTAAATATCCCACAGTGCATAGAACAGTCCCCACAGCAAAGACTTATCTGGCCCCAAATGTCAGTAGTGTCACGGTGGGAAACCTAACTCTTGGACTTCTACCCATCTTGCTCCTGAATCCTTGCTGTGTGTGGACAACGGGGCCTACATGAGCAGATTGCCTGCTAACTCACGGCTGGTAGCCCACTCCCCTGGGGCCTCCTTGCTTGCCCTGTTCCAGGCATGTTGGCTGCTCAGTGATCCTCAGACACGCTAAGCCCCACTGGTATCCCACTGGATATCCCACTGCCTGGTAAATTTGTGGCTTAGTGCCTGGAGTGGGATGAATAATGGCCCCTTAAAGGTGTCTACATCCTGTTCCCCATAACCTGTGAATATGTTACCTTCCATGGTAGAAGGGACTTTGCAGATATGATGAAGTTGAGGATTGATATGGGTTGAATTGTGTTCCTCAAAGTTCCATGTATTAGAAACTTAATCCCCACTGTGACAGTATTAAGAGGGTGGGAAATCCTATTATGGTCATTGAAAAGTGGGGCCTTGGAGAGGTGATTGGATTGTGAGGACCATGCCCTAGTGAATGGATTAATCCGTTGATGGTTTAATGGTGGTCATGGGCGTGGTTCTGATGACTTTAAATGGAGAGCACGTGAGAAGCGCTCCCCCCCCACCCCCCAAGAGCAAGGCCCTCATCAGATTTGTTCTCTGGTCTTTGGATTTCCCAGCGTCTGAAACTGTAAACAATAAATATTGTTTCTTCACAAATTACCCAGTTTCAGGCATTCTTTATAAGCAAAGAAAAGGACTGATACAAAGATCTAGAGATAGGGAAATTATCTTGGATTATCTGGGTGGGCCCAGTGTCACAGTGTCATCACAAGGGTCCTTCTAAGAAGGAGGTCGGAGGATCAAAGGCAGAGGAGGATCTGTGAGGATGGAAGCCGAGGGCAGAATCATGCATGGTCATGAGCCAAGGAATGTGGGCAGCCCCTAGGTGCTGAAAGAGGCAAAGAAGCAGATTCTCCTCTAGAGCTTCCAGAAGGAGAACAGCCCTGCAGACCCGTTTTAGACTTCGGCCCTCCAGAACTATAACAGAGTGATGGGTGTGGCTTTAAGCCTCCAAGTTTGTGGTTATTTGTTACATCAGCAAGAGCAAACTCATACAGTGCCCTTGGCCCTTGTGTTTGCTCTGCCTGGAAAAGAGTGCTTTCCCCAAATTGTCACATGGCCTCTGCTCTCCTTTTGATCACCCTGTGAGAGAGGTTTCCTTGACCATCCTGAATAAAATTGCACCACCCCATCCCCACCCCCACCCTGTCACCCTGTTTGGCCGAGCAAATGTTATTACCTAATCTGTTTATTTGCTTTTTGTCGGTCTCTCCCTGTGAGAATGTAAGCCCACTGAGGGTAGCGATTATAGGTCATTGCTCTACTCCCAGTAGCTACATACTCAGTGAATACTTACTGAATGAATAAATGACTGTCTCGTTTGGTCTTATTTGCTATTTGGCCTTCACCCCTGGAAGTAGGCAAGTTGTGGGCTCGCGACAATTCCTGGCCAACTGTTTTGCTCCTGGCTCCCTTCCCCAGGGCCTACATCCTGGGTGGAGTCTCGGGTAACCCCCCCTTGCCTTGAGAAGGGAGAGAGCTTTAAGACATGGGGGCCTTTAGGGATCTAACGTGGGCAAGGGATTGTCACTCCCTTTCAAGGACTGTGTTCATGCGATATACAAACACACCGAGCTCAGCTCACAGTTCCTGGACCTGCACGAATATTGAAGAGGGCTAGTGGTGTTTGAACCCTTTGTAATAAATCCTCTTTTGGGGGGCTGGAGAAAATGGCATGAGAGCTGGGCCCCAAAGAATTGCTGGGATTCCAGCTGCCTATACATTGGGGAAGGCCCTTCTTAGCTAGGAGGGGAGTGGGGGTCAGGACCAAGGTGGGGGGTTTTCAGTCTGCAGCAGCTGGACTGGCCTGAGTGGCAGAACGCAGGTGAGCCAGGAGTGGAATGAGGACACTGTGAGCAGAGAAGCAGGGCCACGCACGGGGTCCACGAGGGCCTGGGAAAGCCTGGAGTTGGCAGTGCTGGGCATGCTAGGCCTTTTGAATTGGGAATGTTAACTGTGAGCCATCCAAATGGTGGCATGTTCAGGAGAGTGACGAGGGGAACCCATATGGGGATTTTCCACATATGGATGATACTTAAGTCACAGAGTGGCTGAACTCACCTCGGGAGAGACAATACACTGAACAAGGAAGAGACTCCAGGACTGAGCCGTGAGAATGTCCTGTAAAAGGTCAGGGTGGGATTGGCCAGAGGGGTACAGCAAAAAGTCCAAGAGAGGATGGCTGGGAGCAGGAGGACAGACAGGGAAGTAGACCTCAAAAAGCACTTCCCTCCAAGGGACCGATGGCAGTGGAGGACAGTGGCAGATTTCCGTAAAGCTGACTGACCTTTTTCCATTTAATGAACTCTCTTGTTCTGATATATATCTTTTTTCTGCTAAAGCCTCTTTCTCTTATGAAATAACAATAGATGATGTGTGTTGGTTTTTTTCAAAGTCTTTACGTGGCATAATAAAAAGTTGGCAGTCCTAAGTTAGCCCTTCCCCACCCCCTTTCTTAAATTGTCCTGGCCTGTGGGACGCGTGACGGCGATGGCGCTCTCCCTGGAATGAAAGCAGGAGGAGGAGGCGGCGCCAGAGAGGCTCATGCTTTAGGGATGAGGATCGTTAAGGCAGCTCTTGATTTTTGACAATGAGTTTTGTGCTTTCAACAGGATTTAAGGTGCTTAGAAACCTCCTTGAAGAGTTCTTGTCAGTGGAGTCCTTAACCAGTTGATCATGGTTCACTGATCCATTCATTGTGGCCCCTCTGTGGCCTGGTCCTCTGATGTGGTGTCAGTGTACCGTGCCAGTCACCTGGGAGTAATTACATTCTACCTCCAGTCATTCCAAGTTGGTGCTTGTAGTTAAGGCTTGACCGGCAAGCAAGTGTGGGCCCGACTTGTCAACTGCTCTGCTGTA